TCCTTAATGGGAAAATAAACAATTATGTGTGCCTCGAGTTATTTGGGGGGGGGGGGGGGGGGGGGGGGGGTAAAACTCTCAAAAATAGCAGTCCAACATCCAAACTACACACATGCTTTCAGGTAATCCATCATGGAACAACAACAGTGTCAAGACTTCATAAAGAAAATTAACAATTTGCTGAAAAACTTCAATCCAGAAAATGTTTCATTATATCCCATCTGTTGGTTTTCCACAGTAGGCTAGGCTACTTTGATGTTTTTAATCTGATATATGTATATAAAGGAGTGGCGTAATCATTTGTAATTACAATAATATTAACCTTTTATCGTAATAATGGTTTTCTCTTACCTTAAGGTTTGCTCAAACGAGTTGGATTCAGGTACAAACTGTAAAAACGTGTTGACAAATTGATGTATACCCCCATTAATTGTGAGATTAGATCTTGTTTAATCCTTAATACCAAAAATGTAGACATGATGAACTCCGTATTGATGATGATAAAGCCCTATCATTATTCAGACTGTAGAGAAAGGGAGACTCTGTATTCGACATGTATTGCAGGCCTGGATCATTACTTTGTTCACGACGAGTCAGAAAATATGAAATTGGTGCCAAGCTCTTTTAAATCCCCTTAGTAGCAACATTGGAGTAGTATTAGTCTCGAGTGTGAGTATTTATTGTGTTTTTTGTGTGTTTTTTTCAGATACATCTCGGATGATGATACTTTAAAGTATCTGGAGAAGCATTCTTTCCACAACCTGTCCAGGGTCAGCCACATGTATGTAACCTTCAAGCAGCGCAGGTCCATTTTGATTCAAATAAACCTCTCGTGAATTCACAAAGGAGCGAGCAAGTGCTATTGGTTCTGTTTCAATTACCGATTTATCTGATGAAATTACACCCAAAAAAAGTTCTGCAGCTGAGTGTAATTCTTCCATTTGAATCATTCAATTGCAATTATATAATACAACACTAAAGATGATGATGTTCTCAATGATATATTTGGCTATTAGCACCTATTAATGTACATTTCACTGTTTTTCATTAAAAGGGGCTAATTATACGCCAATTAAAATGTATATTACCTTAAATGTTAGTATTATTATACTACTACTACTTCTTATTTATGAAGGTTAAATTAATGCAATGTTCCCCGATCTCTTGTGAGTCTAAGAAGTCTTATGTTATTCATATAATATTTTTAATGCCAGTGTGTTTATCATTTACCATTTTCCCTTCAGATCTTGTTTTTAAAGCCACATTTTAATTGAAGTGCCAAAAATGTACTGTTACTATCCCGGCTCGATACATATAGAAATCAACACAGAAACTATGGACATGTTAGAGTAGATAAGGGCGAAGGACGTTATATTTAGTGACCAAACCACATTAAAACTAAACTATTGTGAGCCATTTTCTACCAGAAAAAGAAATTATAAGATAGATAGATAGACAGATAGACAGACAGATAGATAGATAGATAGATAGATAGATAGATAGATAGATAGATAGATAGATAGATAGATAGATAGATAGATAGATAGATAGATAGATAGATAGATACATAGATAGATAGATAGATAGATAGATAGACAGATAGACAGACAGATAGATAGATAGATAGATAGACAGATAGATAGACAGATAGATAGATAGATAGATAGATAGATAGATAGATAGATAGATAGATAGATAGATAGATAGATAGATAGATAGATAAATACATAGATAGATAGATACATAGATACATAGATAGATACATAGATACATAGATACAGGGACGTGCACAGGTACGGGCTAATGTTGCCCGGGCAACGGCCCGTTTGGCCTTTTTGGGTGACCTGCCCCTCTGGAGAGAGCGAGAGTTTGTTTTTCTTTTTTCTGTTGTGGCCGAATCAACATGATGAGCCCACAAGTAGTATGGTAACGTCTCGCTGCGGGAAACACACTTTGTCAGCGCTGTCATCTGCCGGTGCGTTAAGACCACCTCAGTGTCAGATTTTGGAAACTTGATTTTGAGTTGTCTCATGGCAGTTAGGGTATAAGGGACAAACCAGGGGACTTTTACTTCCTCTTGATACCGTCGGTTATTTACAAACAAACACCTAAATATAGCCTACTTGGTGTTATTGTGCTTCTGTCTTTCTGTGTCTTTTCATCTGTAAACTCCCTCACCGCTCGCTCTCTTTTCTTGATCGCCCTCTCTCAGAGAACACTTCACTGTCCCGCTTCATTGTAGGATTTCTGCCATGTCTCTACCTTAGATACCTTACCGTTACTGGCTGCGCTCATAAAGAATGATAAGAATAAGAATAATGCGTATTGAACTGGTTTCATTCATTAGTGAGTTTATTTAAGGTAATTAGTTAGAGGCCCTATTTTATCAGTATGTCTGGACTGCACAGCAGTTACAATGGCCAAACTAGAACAGAATTGTCCCCATTTTGTCTTTAATAGTAACTAACATTAGATATTTTAATGAGATATGGACCGCAAAACAAAAAATGTCCCTGGTTTTCATTTTTAAAATCAAGTTACCGAATGCAAGTAGTCGCCTTAGCTTATTGTGTTATGAGATGTGAATTACTGTTCAATGTAGTTGATGTAATAATCGTTTGGTTTCTTTTACATTAAAAACAAGTTACAATTTTCAAAAGGTCTTGTGTTTTTTATCGGGGGGAGGCCCTTTTTCCAGTTTAGAGCGATAGCCCCTCCAAATGTCTGTGCACGTCCCTGGATAGATAGATAGATAGATAGATGGATGGATAGATAGATAGATAGATAGATAGATAGATGGATAGATGGATAGATGGATGGATGGATAGATGGATAGATGGATAGATGGATAGATGGATAGATGGATAGATGGATAGATGGATAGATGGATAGATGGATAGATGAATGGATGGATGGATAGATGGATAGATGGATAGATGGATAGATGGATAGATGGATAGATGGATAGATGGATAGATGGATAGATGGATGGATGGATAGATGGATAGATGGATAGATGGATAGATAGATAGATAGATAGATAGATAGATAGATGGATGGATAGATAGATAGATGGATGGATGGATAGATGGATAGATGGATAGATGGATAGATGGATGGATGGATAGATGGATAGATGGATAGATGGATAGATGGATAGATGGATAGATGGATAGATGGATGGATGGATGGATGATAGATGGATAGATAGATAGATAGATAGATAGATGGATAGATAGATAGATGGATGGATAGATGGATAGATGGATAGATGGATAGATGGATAGATGGATAGATGGATAGATGAATGGATGGATGGATAGATGGATAGATGGATAGATGGATTATTTTGTTACAGCATCAGTGTGTTCAGACGTAAAAATTAAAATACTTCAAGAGTATGAGTTAGTAAAGTGTGTTTTTGTGTATCTTGTGTGTCCAATAGACAGCTGACTGGTATCAAAACCCTGTCACACATCGACCAAGAGGCGTTTAAAGATCTGCCTAATTTAAAGTACCTGTAAGTAAACTTTCCTTTGCTCATTTGCATTCTCGTGTATCATAAGCACGTCATGTTTTCTCAAGAAAACAAAGTAAATGTATATTTTCATCTGTGTGTCTCTTCACAGAGGAATCACCAACACAGGGCTCACCTCCTTCCCTGGGCTTCAATATATTCAATCCAGCCAGGATGATTTTATTTTGTATGTGAAATAAACTCTACTGTCTTTTGTTTGCTCAAAGTTACGGAGGTTATAACTGGTTTGTGTTCATGGCTCTCTGACAGGGAGATAGTGGAGAATGTCTTCATTCAGGTGATACCTGCTAACTCCTTCACTGGAATATCTGAGAATACTCTGACCATGTGAGTATGACTGATAGTTGAATTGTTAATTTGTTTTTACAGCTTTACACCAATCAAATCTCTTGCATTTGTTATTCATTTTTAACATTTTTGACACTAATTTACGACAATTTCATGGCATAACTGGGTCAAATGTTGCCTTTATGCGATAGGAGGGTAACAACATAGACTTTTACTTAAAGGGGACCTATCATGCAACATGCACTTTTTGATGTCTTTTATACATAAACATGTGTCCCCGGTGTGTCGGGGAACTCACGCAGCGTCAGAAAATAAAACCCTCTCTCTTTTCCTCCGTACCCAAATCTCTAAAAACGGGGCTACAACGGAGCTGATCCAGATTTGCGTCCGATATGACGTAATATCTGAAATGTGGACCCACGGCCCTATCAGAAACGTTGCTATCAGAAACAATGCCCGACTGTTTTGGACGTAATATGGTCGGTGTTTACATTAGCATCGCTAACACTCAGAGCTAACCTGTACTGGAGAGCATATGTGTGAAGAAGCAGGAAATAAAAAGGAACTCACCTTGTGGTATAACCGGCAAGAGAGAAAGCCTTTGAGCTCCAAACTGTTTCAGAGAGAATCCTTGATAATCCATGATATGGCGTTTCATCACGGCAGCATTTAGTTTAGACAGTAGCTGCCGGGTCCCGCATGAGCTCAGACCCCTCCTTCTTTTTAAAAAAAAAGCTGTCCGAAAAGATGATTTTCTGTTTTCTGTGACACATAGTAAAGTATGTAATATGATAATTATGAGGGTCAACTTTACAGAAAAACATAATCTGCCCAATCTCCAAGCTAAATCTGCAAGGTTGTTATGATAAGCGGACTCATGAAGTCTCAAATTGTGCTCAAGCTAGGGCTACTTTTATTTTTTAATTCAAAAGTGTTAAGGTTTAGATGTAAAGCTACACTACAGCTCCAAATTAAGCCTTTAATAAAACCTTATAAACCTTCAGTCAGCTGAGCCGTCATTTCAACAAGAGGGTTCATAATTAGCATGAAGGAAATATGAATAACAGTAGGAAAGTATCTACAAGTATTTCACTATTGTTTAAGTGTTACACATCGTCACGAATAAACATGGGGGTCAAACAGCCGCTTTCACACCAAGTACTTTGCCGTACTTAGTTCCCAGCACTTAGTTCCCAGCACTTAGTTCCCCCATGGAACTAAGGTTCCGATCGCGTTCACACCGGAATAAGTTCCTGAGGGAAGATAACGCAAATGAAGTCGATGACGTCACTTCTTCTTCTTCTGCTTTGGGTTTACTGGCAGGCCGCAAACAACTTCACGGCGTATACTGCCACCCGAAGTCCCCGGCCGGAAGTCCCCGGAGTAAATCGCCAGAACGCCGACACCTCCTCATCACTCCACCTCTCCCATGTTTTTTTTTGTGTTGCCATAAGTTAGTCTCTCTCCGTTGGTGCGCGGGGCTAATGCTAATGCTAATGCCAGCAAATACAATGGCGGCTTCAAAAAACTTTTCAGAGTTTTACGGGGCGTTGTTTGCAATTCACCCAGCCAATCAGAAATTGGTACTTTTTCTCCCCAGGATAGTCCCACCTCTCTAGCAGGCACTAACAATGGGGGAAAAGTCCTCTGAACTAAGTTCTCTTTTTGGTGTGAACGCAAAATTCCAGGCACTAACGGAACTAAACGGGAAAAGTACGGGTAAAAGTACTCCGGTGTGAAAGCGCCTTTTGTAATGATTAATGAATGGACGTCTCTCAGGAAAATTCTCCTTTTCTCTTCTCTTTTAAAGCATGCTGAATAGCAATGGTGTGAAAGAGATCCAGCGCTATGCCTTCAATGGGAGCAGACTGGAGGAAGTGTAAGCCATTTTGAATTTTAACAGTGGAACAAAAACATAATCTTAAACTGAAGAGAATTACTACTGTGTGAAAAAATATTTAGTTTTAGTAATAATGGATGTTGTGTACAGATCAAAATGTGGCTGTGGTACATTGTCCCTGATCTATCCTCCATTTTGTTTTTGTGACAAACCTATTGATTGTTTTCTGCGACATATATACACAGATATAAATTATTTAAAGGGGACCTATCATGCAAAATGCACTTCTTGATGTCTTTTATACATAAACATGTGTCCCCGGTGTGTCAGGGAACTCACGCAGCGTCAGAAAATAAAACCCTCTCTCTTTTCCTCCGTACCCAAATCTCTAAAAACGGGGCTACAACGGAGCTGATCCAGATTTGCGTCCGATATGACGTAATATCTGAAATGTTGACCCACGGCCCAATCAGAAACGTTGCTATCAGAAACAATGCCCGACTGTTTTGGACGTAATATGGTCGGTGTTTACATTAGCATCGCTAACACTCAGAGCTAACCTGTACTGGAGAGCATGTGTGTGAAGAAGCAGGAAATAGAAAGGAACTCACCTTGTGGTATAACCGGCAAGAGAGAAAGCCTTTGAGCTCCAGACTGTTTCAGAGAGAATCCTTGATAATCCATGATATGGCGTTTCATCACGGCAGCATTTACTTTAGACAGTAGCTGCCGGGTCCCGCATGAGCTCAGCCCCCTCCTTTTTTATTATCAATTATTTTCTTTTTTTTAAGCTTTATACCCAAATCAGCACTTTTGAAACAGGAAGTGAAATAGAGGGATATGAGGCATGGCTAGAATGGGTGATCTGCTTGGTATTTTGAGCAAAACACTTCATAGACATATTTTTTATATATCTGAGACCTATGCTATTGCCTAAAAATAGCATAATAGGTGACCTTTAAACGATAATACAAAAAGAAAAGAAAAAAACTAAGATAAAAGATACGGAGTCCCTTGCCCACGCCACCCCAGACTGGAGGAAGTGTAAGCCATTTTAGATTATAACAGTGGGACTCATGGCTGGTTTAATTACTATTGTGTTTAAAGTATTTAGTTGTGGGATGTTGTCTACAGATCCATATGTTTTTTTTGTGACCATCCTATATATTGTTTTCTAGTAGTCCTAATCATCTACCAAAGCACCTAGGTGTGCATATAGTACAATCTTAATGTTCATGAATGATACCACCAGATCAGCAGCCATTTTAATTGCCTCTAATGTTTCCCTATCCTCCGTTCTTCAGGTATCTTCACAGGAACGTGGATTTGGAACGAATAGACGAATTCGCTTTTTATGGCGTGATTCACGGCCCAACGCATCTGTGAGTGAATGTAGAGAATTTGCTAAGAAAATAACCTTTTGTTCCCATCAAACACTATCTTTATGTGTCACATACTGATAAATATACAGGAACAAGCGTACCCTAAAGAATAATCTGAACTCTTTATCTTCTAGAGACCTTTCAGAAACCAAAGTTAGCTCTCTGCCTTCAATAGGTATGGAGACCATTGAAAAGCTCCAGATTAAAAACACTTGGGCCCTCAAAGTTCCTCCCCCCTTTAGAGCCTTCCTCCACTTACAGAGCGCTGAATTGACCTTCCCCAGCCATTGTTGTGGTCTCAAAATGTTGAAGAGATGGAGAGGGTAAGTAGGAGAATTTAAAGTGTTGGGAAATATGTTCCCACTGTGACATGTTTTCAAGTTATTGTCCTTCACATACCAAACTCTCCTCAGGCTCTCTTTATCTATTTGTTTTTGGAGTACTCACAAACGCTGAGGATTCAATGAATTGAGTTCAAGTATTTTTCTGTCAGCATTGTAATGATTTTACATTTAAACATGGTTCTGTGAAAAGAAAACCTTGGCACCGTGAGTCACTTGACAATTGCAAGGTCCTCTTTCACCCTGAGCATTAACATATCCCAGAAAAACCTCCAGGCCACCATACCACACTTATAACACAAATAATGTTTAGATATTTCTTTGTGAATGCTGATCTGTGAATTTGGGGATTATTGTAATTTTAGGTCGTTATTCTTCCTACTTTTCTGGCCACATTGACTCGTTTATGAGTCTTTTTATAGATGTGTTGTGCTTTTAAACAATCATTTACAATTATTTAATCATGATTAGGTTTATCCTTTGACGTTGTTACATGTATAGGTAATTATTCTGACAGATTAGGTAGTGTAAATGCCCGATGTGTACAAACAAAGTTAAGGACAAAGGGCATTTTTGCTTTTCTTTCCCCCTGTCAAGACTTTCTGGTGTAGAAGAACTATGTAGAATAAAATAATGTACCTCTTGCATGCATTTTAAGAAATGTGGTTGTTCAATCTCTGATTAATAATCCCTATCTCTGTTTTCAAGACACTCTGAGGCCGTTTTTTGCAACCTGACACGGACTGCGTTGAAAAAGCTGCAGGACTCCTCTCAGAAATATCCAGTTAACGAAGTGTACCAGCATCTCAAAGAAAGCTCTACTCTTCCAGCTCATGGGAGCAGAAATCACAACCACTTGTACGACAGCCCCACGTGCCCGACTGAACAGGCTCAGAATGAGGGTTTGTTTTACGTGGAGTTGCCTACAGAGCATCTCAGTGAAGGGTTTGACTTTGCTCTGTGTGATGAACTTCGTACGGATACTCACAGACTCATTTGTACCCCTCTGCCTGATGCTTTGAACCCCTGTGAGGATGTGATGAGTCATGGCTTCCTGCGGGTGTTAGTCTGGGCGGTCAGTCTGTTAGCTATCTCCGCTAACTTCCTGGTGATGTTCATCCTGCTGACCAGCCGGCAGAAGTTGTCCGTCACCCCGCTTCCTCATGGGTCACCTGGCGTTCGCAGACTTTTGCATGGGGATATACTTACTGTTCATAGCATCTGTGGACCTCTACACACGCTCCCATTACTACCACTATGCTATCGCCTGGCAAACAGGAAGTGGCTGCAATCTAGCAGGAACGTTATCAGTGTTTGCCAGCGAGCTATCAGTGTACACATTAACGCTAATCAGCTTGCAACGTTGGCATGCAATTTTCTATGCAATGAGGCCAGACAGGAAGATGAGGTTACGCCATGCAGCTGTGCTAATGCTAATCGGCTGGTTGCTGTGTTTGATCCTAGCTCTGCTGCCAGTAGTGGGAGTGAGCAGTTTCCAGAAAGTGAGCATCTGCTTGCCCATGGACACTGAAACCACCGCTGCTCGGACCTACGTGGTGTCGTTGCTCATGGTTAATGTCGTTGCTTTCATGGTGGTGTGTCTATGTTACCTCCACATCTACTGCATGGTGCACAATCCCCAGCACCAGTCCAGCAGATGCGATACGACCATGGCTAAACGCATGGCGGTTCTGATTTTCACCAACTTCCTGTGTCTGGCTCCCATCTGTTTCTATGGCTTGTTTGCAGCGCTCCACCAACCATTGATGACCATCACAGACTCCAAGGTGGGACTTCCTCTTGAGATTCTTATTTTATTTTTAAAGGTCACCTATTATGCAAAATCCACTTTTTCACATCTTTGATACATAAACATGTGTCCCCTCTAGGGATGGGTATCGGTAAGGTTTTAACGATACTACTACTTTTATCGATACCGCTTATCGATCTGGTCCTTTAACGGTACTCTTATCGGTTCTTTAAAAAAAAAAAAAAAAAAGGTAAATTGGAAATAATGTGAACTTACAGAACTGTAAAAAACAAACAAAAAACAAGTATTTACTCTTACTGCAAAAATACAGTGGTACAGAGCAGCACAGGTGGGGCAGACAGGTATGCTTCAAAAGGCCTAACGGTTCTTCTGGAGGATGATTAAGGTATACATAACATACATGACGTGGAAACGTTACTCGTGGATGGGGCTACAGAGCTACTACAAAGACAGTCGAACCCGGTGCATTCCTCCGTCTGAATGTGGTGCAGTTTTGCTAAATGTTTAGACAAATTGCTCGTGTTGCCGCCCTTACATGCTAAACTCTTATTGCCCTTTTGCCAACGAGCATTGTCCACATCGAGACGGGTAAAGTTTAACCACACCTTGGAGCGCTTAGTTCTCTCCGCTATCTCCGCCGCGTGTGTGTTGCATGCATGTAGCAGCCGCGTGTATGTAAACTGCCCCGCCCCCTTGTTGGCGAAACTAAAGCTGCAATATAATGTTTATGTAGCGATAATACATATGACATGTTTTTTAAATGTCTCCAGTACCGATAAAAAGACCGATAACGTTGGAGCTTAACGGTACCACGGTCTTTAATAATTCAGACCGGGGACAATTTAATACCGGGGCTCGGTACCCATCCCTACTCCCCCCTGTGGAAAGAGACTCGGAAAGTTTCAGGAAAAAAGATTCTCTCAGTTTTTGTCCTGATCCATTTCTATAAAAAGCTGTCTGAAAATGAGCTGATCAGATTTTGGCCACTTTATGATGTCATAACGATTTTTTGGCTTGTGTAACCATTAGCCAATCACCAACCAAGGTAACCCCCCCCCCCCTCCCCCCCACCTTATTACACGAGGACGAAACGGGCACGTTTGCGTTTACGCACCAAATTCGTTTTTCAAAAAAGTCTTCCGTTCACACGAGACGGCTCGACCCGCTGGAAACGCTGTAGTACATATGTCGGGCATGTAAGTGGCGCTGCTGCCGCCACAAAATACACCAAAAGCAGCGAAGAAGACCCCTGAGCATGGATGCCATGGTTGCCCTTCCGTTTATTCTCCGCGGTGGACGGCGTGTGCTCCTGTGGTAATTCTCTCCGGTAGTCCACCTGCAGATGAAAAACACCCACCTCTCCGCCTCTTCCAAGGGACGAGGGAACCGTGCGGCAGAGTTTCTGTAAAAAAAAAAATTCGCCGGTCAACAGGTTTTTTTTTGGTTTTTTGGTTTACAGTTTAAATCTTCCGGACAAAATTAGAAAAGTGCCGGTCAGAGGTCTTCTTTGTTATTTATTGAGCTTTAAAACAAATTGATAACGACTCTATATAATAATATAAGAATAATAAACGGAGCATCTCTTTCCCCCCCCCCCCTTCTGACAGCCCAGCAGCTGATCTCTGAGCAGGAGACGTGGGGAGAGGGAGACGGGGCTATTTCATCGTTATCAGAAAATGATCGTATAGGCAGGGCGTACATACAGAGCCGTTTGCAGATCTATCCACCTTGGGACCCGTTATCGTTTGCGGGGTCCGTTTCCGCGTCAGCCTCGTGTGAACGAACGCGAGAGAAAAGTAGCGGATACAACCCGTTTTGTCCTCGTGTAAACGGCACCTGAATCTCTTCCTAGAGCACCATTGAGTTATTTTTAACCAAATGTCTCTCAGAGGGGCGTGGGGAGGGGCTCCTCCTCCTATTTTCATCTAAAGTAACAGACAGAGAATCAGCACTTTGGAAACAGGGCTGAAACAGAGGGGATTATGGGTAATGCTGCAATGATCTGTTTGGTGTTTCAGCCAATCAGAGACAGGCTCTGTATATATCTGAGACCTGTAATATATTGATGAAACACAGTATAATAGGGGACATTTAAAGTAAAGTCTGATCGATCTTTATCTCCACAGGTGCTGCTGGTGCTTTTCTACCCTCTCAACTCTTGTGCGCACCCTTTTTTTTATGCCATCCTGACGAAGGCGTTCCACAGAGACATCCTGATGCTGCTGAGCCGGATGGGGCTGTGTCAGCGTCAGGCTCATCTCTACCGGAGCCAGCAAGTTAATATATACACAGACACCATGTCCCCCCCACTGTCCGGACCCCACATCCCCAAATGTTCAGTGATCTCCAGGCTACGAGAGGCCCCCAAATTGTCTTGCAGTAGCAGATTTAAAAAACACTAATTCGCTTATTTTGTTAATACCAATTCAAAGAACCTAACACACACACAGTAACATGTGCCTTTTTAGAATGTGTAGTCTTCTAATTTTCTTGTGTCAATATAGCTGGTTGTTTGCTTTCCCAAAAATCATGCTCCAATTATTAATCAACAGTTTAGTATTTGCAACGCATTCTTGGATCCCATGAAATGCAATTGGATTAAATTATAGGTATTTTATACTTTTGTATTGTTCTAAATGTCAAATAAAAAGCTTCACACAACTTCTGTTCTGTATCATGTCGTAGGCCTACACAAAATAGCTTTACCTGCACTTTACTGATGTGGATGCTATTTTCTTGTTCAGATTATACACATAAGGTATTTTAAAACCTCATCACTCCACGTGCTAATTCAATATTAGGATGATGTGTTTATTTTAGTGCTGTCAAAATTATCGCGTTAACGGCGGTAATTAATTTTTTGAATTAATTGCGTTAAAATATGTAACGCATTTAACGCATGTGCAGAATGGCCCGCCCCATACGTGCCACCAGTGGCAGCGCCAGGGTACGGCTGGGGTAGGCTACACCCATACCAAGAAATGATGTTAAAGTAAGCAAATTAAAGTCTGCCAACTCGCGCGGAGTAAATTGCACAGACAGCAGTTAGTAAGATTGATTTCAGTAGCCACGGTTTTGAAAACTTTTGTCACGTAGTGATCGTCTTCTCAATAGAACATCTTTGATAACGGCGTGGTGTTGTTGCAGGAAGTCCCGACGGAGAATACTTTTGCTGTAGTACAGGGGTGCACATAACTGGTACGCAGGTTATGTGCGTAATCTGAAATGCGTACCGTCACTTGTGTCACAAAGCGCATTTGCGTACCGACGTACTTGTGAAGCTTTTCCAGAAGGCGGTTAGATCACCGGACGACAGAGTCGGTCTCCGTGTGCACAGACAGGGCTGCTGTTAACGTCGGTCTGGACAACGGAATTGTGCCAAAACTACGCCAACCGGCTGCGGAGGGAGACTCCCCCCCTTCACTGGAGAACTGCGCTAAAACAGCTGATCACAACGTTCACACTCTGTGGTCACGAAGTACTCCACTAGCCCCCCCCTCTGTCGACTTTCCTGAAGTACTCCCCCGTTGATAGAAATCAACACGTAATGAATTAAGACCCCACGGTTTGATGATTGATAGGTGTGTGGGTTGTCTTTCATTTTGACACGCAGAAAAATGTTATAATAAACATAGATACTGTATGTTAAATGGATATATCCGCCTTCTTTCATTTATCTTTCCATTCCCACAACAATATGCATAAATAAATGGCATATTTTGGACATAGTGTAGTGCCGTTAAAAGAGAGTCGGAGGCGGTGTATTAAGAATGGAGTTCCAATCTTTATTATCCATTACTATCAGAGAGGTTAACACATGAACTGCTCTGCCTGATGAGCTAGCAGGAATGGCAGCTAAAGCTACAGGTGTTCCCCACTAAAGGGTCCGTGTGGCAACACAATAAGCAAGGTGAATTATGTCCAATAACGTGTCACCACACAAGCCCCCCCAGAATTCACACATAAACAAAATCAGCATGGCGGGGAGGAACGACACGCCGACCCCCACAGAAGAGTGACTTCCGCCTGTGCGGCCCCCGGAAGGGGAGGGACCGGAACAACAGGTCTTAAATCCGTGACAGGGGACGAGGCCGGGGGGCGGCCCCGTCGCGGAGGTCGAGCCAGCACCACAGGCTGGTCCAAGTCCAGGTGAGCAGCCTTCACCCGGTCCACCGAGACGTGCTCGGCCTTGCCACCCAGGTCGACCACCAGGTGCTTGTCCCCGTGCTCCAAGACCCGGAAAGGCCCATCATAAGGGGGCTGCAGGGGGCCTCTGTGCGCATCGTGCCGGATGAACACGTGCTCCGCCGAGCGGAGCTCTGCGGGAACCTGGGACACCTGAGTACCGTCTACTACTACTGAGTAGTAGGGATCGGAGCAAAGGCCTCAGCGGCATCCTGCAGGAAAGCCCTCTGGGCCGACGCCGACCAGGGAGCCGATGCGTTAGGGAGGAAATCCCCTGGAACTCTCAACGGCTGCCCGTAAACAATCTCAGCCGTAGAGCACTGCAGGTCTTCTTTAGGTGCAGTCCTCAGGCCCAGCATCACCCAGGGCAGCTTGTCGACCCAATTCCCGTCCTTAAGGCCAGCTTTGAGGGCCTTCATGGAGCGATGGAAGCGCTCGCAGAGGCCGTTAGCCTGAGGGTGGTAAGCGGTAGTCCTGTGCAGCTTAACCCCCAAACCGCCTGCCACGGCGTTCCAGAGTTCGGACGTGAACTGAGAGCCCCTGTCAGAGGAAATGTCCGACGGGGTGCCAAAACCACACACCCACGTTGCAATGAAGGCCCGGGCAACGTCCGCGGCCGACGTCGAAACGAGCGGGACCGCCTCCGGCCAACGGGTCGTCCTGTCCACCATGGTGAGGAGGTAGGAAAAGCCCTGAGAGGAGGGCAATGGACCAACCAGGTCGATGTTGACGTGGTCAAACCTCCTCTCAGGCACCAGGAAACGCTCCAAAGGGGCCTTCGTGTGGCGGTGCACCTTAGCGCGCTGACAAGCCACGCACTCACCAGCCCAAGTCCTCACGTCCTTTTTCAGCCCATGCCAGACGAACTTCGCGGCCAACAAGCGCAACGAAGGCTTAACGCCGGGGTGTGACAGTCCGTGCACTGCCTCGAACACAGAGCGCCTCCAGCTGACGGGAACGACTGGCCGCGACAGGCCTGTGGAGACGTCACACAGGAGGGTAACGCCCGCGTCGCCGAACACCACGTCCTCCAAGCGCAGCCCCGCGCCCTCCACCTTCAGAGCCTGGACGCCGGGGTCTGTGACCTGGTCCGCCGCCATGCGGGTATAGTCCAGGCCCAACTGGACGGCTCCGATGACGACTCTGGAGAGGCAATCTGCAACCAGGTTCGACTTGCCAGCCACGTGCTTAATGTCTGTGGTGAACTCAGAGATGTAGGAAAGCTGCCGCTGCTGACGTGCCGACCAAGGCCACTTTAGACATGGCGAAAGTGAGTGGCTTGTGGTCGACAAACGCCGTAAACTCCCGGCCTTCCAGCATGAAACGGAAGTGCTGCACGGCCAAATAAAGACCCAGGAGCTCACGGTCAAAAGCGCTGTACCTGCGTTCTCTGGGCGTCAGCTGGCGGCTGAAAAAGGCGAGCGGCTGCCAAGCGCCCTCCACCCACTGCTCGTGCACCGCGCCGACCGCGTAGTCCGACGCGTCCGTGGTGATGGAGATGGGAGCCGTAGATGATGGGTGTGCCAGCAAAGCCGCCTGAGCCAACGCGGTCTTGACCTCAGCAAAAGCGACGTCCGCCTCTGCCGTCCAGTCGATCGCCTGGACGGGGGTCTTGCCCTTCAATGCTTCATACAGCGGCCGCATGATGTGTGCGGCCCGGGCAATGAAACGGTGGTAGAAGGTCACCATCCCCAGAAACTCACAGAGCGACCGGGCTGTGAGCGGGCGAGGAAAAGCCGCAACGGCCTCCACCTTTGCCGGCAGAGGTGCCGCACCGCCCTTGGTGACGCGGTGCCCCAGAAAATCAATGTCAGACACCCCGAACTGGCACTTTGCAGGATTGATGATTAATCCGTGTTCGTTGAGCCGCGTGAAAAGGGCTCGGAGGTGGGATAGGTGCTCCTACACTGAAGCGCTGGCGACGAGTATGTCGTCGAGGTAGACAAACACAAACGGCAGGTCCCGCAGCACCGAATCCATCAGGCGCTGGAACGTCTGAGCAGCATTCTTGAGTCCAAAAGGCATCCGCAGGAACTCAAAAAGTCCAAAAGGCGTTATCACTGCTGTCTTGGGAATGTCCAGAGGGTGCATGGGCACCTGGTGGTATCTACGCACCAGGTCTACCTTGGAAAACACCCCTGTACCGGCCAGATGCGCCGAAAAGTCCTGAATGTGCAGCACCGGATAGCGGTCAGGCGTAGTGGCGTCGTTGAGTCGGCGGTAATCCCCGCACGGGTGGAACCCGCCGTTCGGTTTGGGGACGACGTGCAGGGGAGAAACCCAAGGACTGTCGGAGCGGCGGACAATGCCCAGGCGCTCCATGGTTGCGAACTCCGCCCTCGCTACAGCCAGCTTAGAAGGGTTCAACCGCCGAGCCCTGGCGTAGACAGGAGGCCCCTCGGTAGTGACGTGGTGCTCCACGCCATGCTTAGTGGTAAGCGCAGAGAAGGTTGGCAGCGACAGGTCTGGAAACTCGGCCAACAGTCTGAGAAACGTGTCTGCCCCCGACAGCGAGCCCGACAGCCCGTCATATGATGCGCTGCCAAGTGTGCACACGAGGGAAGAAAACGTTAAGGCATCAACCAAACGCCTATTCTTAACGTTCACTAAGAGTCCATGAGCACACAAAAAATCCGCTCCGAGGAGGGCAAAAGAAATGTCCGCTGTCACAAAATCCCAGCTGAAACGCTGTCCTCCGATGCACAAACACATAGGCCTCACGCCATACGTGCGAATGGGACCACCGTTAGCCGTCGTCAATCGCGGTCCATGCCCACCCCGGGTGACGTCTTCACTCGACGCTGGAACTACGCTCCGTTGAGCGCCCGTGTCACACAGAAACAGGCTCCCCGAAACGCTGTCGCTGACGAAGAGGAGCCTGCACGTGCCGCCGACGCTCAGCGCCACTACTGAGCGCCGGCCCCTCCGTTTCCCGGGGGTTTGTAGCTGCACGGGGCGATGCATTTCTTCGCCATTGTCCCGAAACGTGCGTGGTAAACGCACTCTCCGGTGTCTCCACGCCGGCTCGATACAGCCGTGTCCTGCCTCCGCCCCGCTTTCTTGACTGCAGATGGGCCGCTGAGCGTCGGGGCTAACGTCTCTGCACCGGGCTGTTGTAGCCAGGAAAAAACGATCTGCTTCCTCAGCCTAAGCACGGGGCTCCGCGACAGGCGTGTTGGCCAGCGCCGTCTGGACCCGGGGAGCAAGTGACGCAGGAAAATCTCCGTGAATAATATCCGGGGATCTTCCCCCCCTAGCAGATTTAGCATTTTCTCCATTAGCTGGGAAGGCTTGCTGTCTCCTAGGCCTTGAATGTCAAGTATCTGGCGGGCCCTCTCCTTAGCAGATCAGCTAAATGTCTTAAGGAGAAGGGCGTTAATCGCCTCATATTT